ACTATATCATCTCATCCGCTTAGTTCATACTTTCCAACCCAAATTTGCTTACGAAAAGAGCGGCCTTGGGTGGAAGAGTTCGCAGAGGTTACATGCAATTGGTAATGAAGAAACAAAAAGAACCAATACAGTGATAACAGTCTATGGCTTTGTATATCTTATCACAGCAGGGGTGTATCGTTTAGTACATGCTGAGTGATCTTTGGTGTCTACTTGTGCGCATAGTATCAGAGGCATTTAAAAACATTGTGACTGTCACACGTGTTTTACGAAAGACCCACCCAGAGAGCGGATAACATTGTGTAATATTCCTGACTGTATGTCCATTCCTCTCAGGACATTGTGAACCTTCTGTCAAACATAGTCAGATGTGGCTACAGCACTTTGGCAAGAAAGTTACAGTTTTGCTGGGTGAAATAAGACCTAATGTTAGTCTCTTGCCAGTTTGGTCAGTACTTAAAGCCAAGAACTTGTTTGCTAACCCATCCAGCACATTTAAGCTAGAAAAATACCTCAAGTTGTTGTGAAGAAAGTCGAAAGACATTTCTGTAGTTTAAAGTGAGCCGCATGTCACACCGCACCACAAGCACTCAGGGTTGTTTATGGTAATGATCTTATGGTGCTATATGCTCTGTTTTTATCTAGAGCCAAACACGCTTCATTCAAGCCCATTCCGTTCTGTAACTTCTCTCCCCCGCTAAAGACAAAAAGTGTTACAAGAGCTACAGATGCTGTGGTTATTTTAACAACAGTAACAGAAACGCAGTGAGCAGCAAAGTAGATTAATACAATTGTTTTTATCTGTCATACATATTATGACTACGACTGTTCAAACAAACCATTTAATTATTTGTAGATTTGTAGGCAAGGAAACACAAAAAGACCGACACACCATTATTTTTGCACACAAAGAATTTTTTTCTAATTTAATAAATTGCAACGTTTCAACCACAAGCAGTCTTCATCAGGTCAAAACATTGCAATTAATGAAATTATAAAAAATGATTTGGGAGAAAAAATAATGGTCTGTCCATCTTTTTGCATTTCTTGGCATCCACAAATAATTTCCCCAATGATAACATTGTTTATTATTAAATGCACATTACAATGCTAAATGTAAATGAAAAAACATCTTGTCACAAACCTGGTTTGTCTGAACAGTCAGACTCATATATATGTATCACAGATAAACATAATTGTCTATTTTGCTATTGTTCGTTTTTTGTAATTTAATGAATTGCAACGTTTCGACCACAAGCGGTCTTCATCAGGTCAAAACGTTGCACTTAATTAAATTATAATAAATTCTTTGGGAGCAAAAATAACAGTGTGCCGTCTTTTTGCATTTCATCTAAGCACCTGCTTAAGTGAATTTTGGATGTGCATATTCTACTTTGAATAGATGGCAAGAAAAGTTAACTTTGAGGCATGCTCATGATGAAAGCATTTTGATTATTATGAACATTGTTTGTTTTTAGTAAATACTTAAGGAAAATATAAAAATAGTCCAGACTTAAAGAGGAAAACCCATAAAGTATCTTTTCTGTCACATGGCCTTCTGCCATACATATTTTTTACATTTAGATACCATACTTCTCTATAGTGAGCAGCAAGTCTTTTAGCGGCCACTTTTATCCAAAGTGACTTATTACAGGGACAGTCTCTCCGGGGCAGTCTGGGGTTAAGTGCTTTGATCAAGGCCACAATTGGTAATAGCTTATGGCTCTGATTACCAGGCCTTGCTTTAACCACTTTGCCACACACCGTCCACAAACTATCCCCAAACAGATCTCTTCAGTTGCAGCCTTGTGTTCAGCAGGAGGGATTAAACTCTTAGCGTAACATATGGTCTCTGCTGGCTAAGCCTATGCTAATCAGAGCTCAGATAGGCCTTGCCTTTGCATAGTCATCTGTTAGCAGTGTTCTTCCTTTCATTAGTGGCTACAGTCAAGCACGTTTTTTATGGGGGACAGCAATGAGGATATCTTTGCCATTGTCAGCTGTATCTGTGACCTGTGGTTAGCCCCCAGCTAGTGATTTCTGAAGAGCGGGTATTGTTAATCATGTCGAGCTCATTCAGTGACCCTAGTCCTAACCCCTTCACTCCGCACTGCTATCTGGTTTCCCAGAAGAGCAGGCCTCCCGGGAAGTATGTAGTCTGTACACTGCAGCTTTGTACTGCTGTCTTGGTATTGCCAGTGTTGGCCTATCATGACCACCTTTGGACACACTTTACCTGTGTGGTGAATTGTTTTGCAGTTGGTCTGTATCAGTGATCGAGGTACTTGTAATAATTTTGAGTTAGCTTTTTATTACATAAAACAGGTTAATGTAAACATTAAAATAACTAATCATGATTAATCTCATAAATTGTTTCAGTGTATCATGTTTAGGTTTTTTATGTAATTATATCCATTTTAAAGGGGTCATATGATGCGATTTCAATTTTTACTTTCTCTTTGGAGTGTTACAAGCCCTTGGTGCATAAAGAAGATCTGTAAAGTTGCAAAGACTAAAGTCTCAAATCCAAAGAGATATTCTTTATAAAAGTTCAGAGTCAGCCACACCTACCTAAAACGGCTCGTTCTAACACGCCCCCACATATCTACCTCACTATGTGGGAAGATTTGCATAACACCACCCAAATGTTCACGCAAAGAAAGAAGGCGTAACTTTTAGTCTCACTGTAGTTTTGTTGACGCTGCAGCTGTGTTGTGAAGACGCTGTGTGCTTCGTTGTGAAAGCGAAACTACTTTGTTTGGTCTTCCAAAAGAGGACGATATCCGCTTTGTCATGCCTAGAACTGATCTGTGCTGGTTGCTGAGGGAATACATCAACTTTCACCGTGGACAAAGCGGAATCCAGCCCGGGGTCCGTCACATGTGGTTGCCGCTCATTCGTCGGATCCGCCGGGCGTGCCGTTCTCGACCCCGCTGCCTCAGCTCACACTGTATAATATACTGTATAACGCGGAATGTCACGGAATTTGCCAAATTTTGGATGAATAAATCAAAAGTAGGTCAGTAGACTTAAATCAAAACGCAATATGGACTAGTTTCTGTGAATATTTAAGCGCAAAAAATACTATTTAAATAGAAATCCTGCATGTTCTGCGTGACTCTGTATGAATAAATGGCACAGACGTGCGGTTTCGTTTACTACACACATACTGAAGCACACGTGACAGTCCTCATCGCAGTTGGTTCAGCCTCTGCCACATCAATATATGAGTACATGAACACATGAATATAATCTCTAGAACTGCTCTGAGAGTCACTTTATGAGCATTTTTACCATTTCTTTCGAGAAAAACTATTATCATCAACAGACATATCATAAACCTAAAGGTCTTCACATCAACCCGTCAAAATAAAAGTTTGGTTTAACTTGAAGAAACTGTGACAGAAATATATTACTTAATGTAATGATAGTACTACTAGTACTAATACAATTATTAATAAAACATTATTTTTAAGGAATATTTACTTGGAAAAACTATTTACCAGAAAAAAATGTAAATACACAACACAGTATTTCTGAAAAAAGAAATAAATGAGTGTTTAATAAAATCAATTATTTAGTGATGCTTTTGATTAATAAAATTTTATGAAACCATTAAAATGGAATCCAGACAATTAATGGAAAACACAAAATTTGGTTAAAATAAAACTAAATTTGAGAAAAAAATAAATAAAACGGATTTCATAGGGCCTTAAAAATGTAATTTTCCTTCAACTTTTAAAAAATTGCTGTTAAATTGTGTAAGTTTCATGATTTAAATTAATTAGAAATGCTTTTTACAATTTAATTTAACCGTTAAAACAGAGTCTAGAAAAATTAAAGGAATCCAGAAAAAATGTTGGAATTTGGAAAAACATAAAACGGATTTCAAAGGGCCCTGCATAAGCCAAAACATTGGCCTATATCAACTATAACTATGATGTTGTTGTTAATAATAATAATAATAATAATCATAATTACAATAATTATAATACTTATAATAATAATAATAATCAGCAGCAGCAGTAGTAGATTTGTTAGTAGTAGTATTAGTAGTATTAGTGTCTGTTTTAGTGTATCATGTTTTGTTTTATTTTATTTAAAAATTGTTGCTTTTTTGTTGATGAAGGGGTACTTGAGCATTATTTCTGGGACTCTGGGGGAAAAATAAGACACAACACTGGACTGTAAACTACACAAAAACTATATTATTTTAATATATTTTTATAATAAACTTGAACAAACTTCCTTCTGTATTTGTTTTCATACTTTGCCAGCTCATCTATGTTTTTTTTTTTTTTTACTTATCCATAGATCAATATGTGCATGTGCACAGCAGGTAGATGTTTGGTTTCTTATCTGTTTGTATAATTTCAGCCATATATTCTAGACTGGTTTGCTAAAGAGGGAAGTACACAGATGACAGGTCAGTTTCGTTACTTCTACTTTTCAGTGCTTCATCTCGGGATGTTGACGTACTGAGTCCTCTTTGAAATGGTATACAGGTTATTTCTCACTTTTAATCGATTGCTTTGTAGATTTTGTACATTTCTGTGGTTTTATTTAGAAAGTATTGCTCAGATTATTATGGAAGGTTTCAGGAAGCAGGTGACTTGTTCAGCTATTGTTTATCGATTGGGGTGGGTGGGTGGCTTTGCTTTTTAGAAGTTCTTTCTTTTGTACATTATGATGTGCATGTTTTTTGTAAAAAAAGTTTCTGGTGTGTGATTAAGGTTTGATTAATTTGAACTATTTATATATATATAATTTTTTTGGAAAATGTGCTAGCAGTTAAGGGAATTAGGACTGTTGCTTTGTACAAAATTCTTAGCTGTAGTTTACATTTGAAAGAAATGTATCTTATCATAATTAACAAAATATTGATATGTATTTGATATCTTGAAATGGTCTCATTTATACGTTCTGCTTTGTCTGTTTAGGATATATCAGTGTATAAGCTGTTTTCGTAATTTCCTTCCTTGTTTATTGTCTCTTTATAGGAATCAAAGAACGAGCTGCGTCCACGTCTCTGTCACATGAAGAAGGGTGCCACCGGATATGGCTTTAACCTGCACACAGAGAAGTCAAAACCTGGCCAGTACATCAGGGCGGTGGATGAGGACTCCCCAGCAGAGAAATCTGGACTTCGGCCCCAAGATAAAATAGTGGAGGTATAATACACCATATTTAATCAGTAATTTAAACAACTGTGTGTGTACTTCAGGAATGTATGGTGATAAACGTTTGTGTTCAGATGTTCAGATAGTGCCTCTCTCTCTACATGTATGTATGTATTAATATATATCACTGTAACACAAGGTCTCTCCTAAAAAGTCTGTTAGATTTTTATTCGAAAGAAATTCATCATTTTATTCAGCACAAATGCATTAAATTGATCAAAAGTTAAATATATGCCGTTCTTTTGAACTTTCTATTCATCAGAGAATCTAGAAAAAATATATATCACGGTTTACACGAAATTTAGCAGAAGAACTGCTGTCAACATTGCTAATAATAAGAAATGTCAAAGAACTGAAACTTCAGCTTTGCCGTCACCGCAATAAATTACATTTCAAAATCGAAAACTATCATTTTAAACTGTAAGAATATTTCACAATATTACCGCCATTCATCAACAGAATTTCTGATCAAATAAATACAGCATTGGTGAGCATAAGACACTTCTTTCAAAAATCTTACTGACCCCAAACTTTTCAGTGGTAGGGTACATATATAAAGTACTTTTGGCCATTTTGACAGCCTATTCAGTGGATAGTTTTTTGCTTTTAGTTTTTTTTTTCAGTGAATTCCACAAATACTGTGTAACATATTTTTTTGATTAATTTCTGAAATGTTGTGAACAGTTTCTGTAATTGTATTATTATGTATTGGCCTATTGGGTTGTTATACATTGTGTTATGTATATAGTGACATTATATCAGCCAGCAGCCATCCTTCTTTCTAGATATTGCCATTGGCATCATTCATTAAAAAACACTGTTAGTAATAATCTCAATTAAAATGCTCCCACCTTATAATGTAGTTCATTAGCCTAACCATAGGCTGTTTATGACTGATGTCAGAACGATTAAAGATCAAATTTTAGAGCCAGAGTGGTATTTTACACATTTTATACTTGCACAGAGCATTAACTGTAAATGCCTGAGCGGTTTGGACAGTGTTTCCAGAGCGTTAATCACATTATCTATCAGTGAAGGAGTGGCCAGTGTAATTACTCTCTCTCTGGGAGTGCTGGGATTACTGAACGCCTGAGGAGAGCTCAGAGTCACATATCTTTATCAAACCACTGATATAAGGCCAAGCTCAGTCCACTTACTAGAGCTATGTGATAGAGATCTTAAAGACGGTTTAAAGAAGGCCCCGTTTATGTTATTTCTATGTATAAAAAATATATATTCAGCATTGTCCTATTTGAAACGCATGTAAATACCTGGTGTAAATGAGGTCAAAGAAATGAAGAAAGTGAGGTTAGACAAATAAATATAAATAAAGACTAAAATAAAGAATAAATTCTCTTTGGGTGGGTTGCACCAACAAGGATTAATTTAAGTAAAGTTTAGAGCTAATCAAGGATTTGTTGTTCTGGGTTTTATTTTAAATCGAGTTGTGTTGCACCACTTAATTTTAAACACAGATGAACAAATCAGGGATTAGAACTTTAACCTGCGATTAAAACCTCCATCTACGATTAATTTTCTCTGCCATGATGGATTTCGCCATTGCAATTAAACAGGAACAATGCTAATATTGCTCATTTTTCTTTGCTTACTACCAAACTCTTTCTGACATAAAAAGTTGCTCGTGTCAAAAAAGGAAATAAACTTGTAAAATATCTGCCGTCTTAATAAACTGCTATCGTTATTCAAACGTCTGATCAAGCAAGCAATGAATACATTTCTGGCAGTGCATACGGATTTCATAATCCTGGAAATATATTTATAGTATCAATTAATGGAGTATGTTTTATGACAGCGCCGCCCCGTCCGTTTGATCGCCGCCAAGCATCCACGCGTGCGTGAGGAACGAGAGGCGTGGCCGCGATCATTGGCGCTCATTTCATCATCACCGCTGCCGTTAAATGCTATACAGTATATTTCTGTTTTCTTTGTCGTACGCCGAGATGCACCGAGATGAGTGACGGATTCACATCCCGGACTCGATAGCAGACTGCCAAAACCCTCACAATCTGCTGGCTCAGTGTGCTTAAATCTTCCTTTTTATTTGTAATAAACACCTGAGACCTCACAACACACCCTCTATTGTTTTCTTTGTTTAATCAGCCACATAATTGTAACTGTAGGTGCACTTTATTTAATTTAAACCTCCTCACTAAATTTAAAATTAATCCCTAATTGATATTTAAATCTGAGTTTAAAGTTATGGAGCAACATGATTAAAGTTAATCTATTTTAAATATAAATTAAATCCAGGATCAAGATGATGGTTTAAATGTAATCCTGCTTATTTTTAAACAAGGTTTAAAGTTTGGTGCAACGGAATTATTAGATAAACCTTGATTTAATCTAGATTAAAGCTTAATCCTTGTTGGTG